CTCTTAGACTCCTTTGGGTAGTGAAGGGCAGGGTATGAATCCAATCTCTTATCTTCTCTCTGTCTTCAAATGGGGCCTGGAGTCTCTCCCAGGATTCCCGCTCATCTCCAGACTACAGAGATCAATTCCCCTGGAGAAAATGGCTGCTTTGGAAGGTGGACTCTGTGGCATCACATCCCTGCTAAGCTCTGTCCCCATACCTGGCCTTCACCGGGCACCCCCCCTAAAAAAAATATTCTCCAGGAATTTGCTGTGCTGGAGTTGGCAACCCTACGACCCAGGAGAGTCTCTGCCCGTCAGAGCAGACTAAGATGGACCGATGGCCTGAGTCAATATGAGGCAGCTTACTGCGGAGAGGGGGCCATGGCTCAGGGGTAACACCCCCGCTTTGAATGCAGAAGGTCCCAGGTTCAGTCCCCGGATCAGGTCGTCAGTGACCGTGAGAGACCAAAAGACGCATGAAATGAGAGAGCTGCCGGTCACAGTCAACAACACTGACCTAGGTAGACCGAGGGTCCAGTCCCGTTCAAGGCAGGTTCATGCGTCCAGGCTCCCAACGTCTCCAGATAAAGTACTGAGTTGGCAGGGGCGGTGGCTCAGTGGTAGAGCCTCTGCACGGCATGTGGAAGGTCGCAGGTTCAATCCCCGGCATCGCCAGTTGAAAACACCAGGTAGGAGGTGATGGGAAAGGCCTCTGCCTGAGACCCTGGAGAGCCGCTGCCGGTCTGTGTAGACGATACTGACTTTGCTGGACTAAAGTTCTGATTGTAAAAGGCAGCTTAATGTGACCAGTTGTCTGTGCCAGCCGAAGGGAGCCTTGTATGTTCGTATCTTCTGGGGAGGGCCCACAGCTCGGAGGCAGAGCACCTGCTTTGTATACAAAAGGTCCCAGGTTCAATCCCCCGCATCTCGGGAGCAGGTCCTTGCCTGCCTGGAAACCACGGAGGGCCTCTGCCATAGACAACGGAGGGCTAGACTGACCAGTAGCCTGGCTCATGCCTGGCTCATTAAGGGCAGGCTCCAGATCAATGTTCCCTCTAAGCTGTGGAGTCTTGTGAGCAAAAAGTCCACTGTGTGAGTTACTGGCATTAAAGTTGTGAGCAAGCCATTTGGCTATTGCATAAATCAGGTTGCTCTGGAGCCCTCCTTCCTGAGCGAAGACAAAAATGTGTGAGCTGGAGGCTAAAAAACTGTGAGCTAGCTCACACTAACTCAGCTTAGAGGGAACACTGCTCCAGATGTTCATCTGCGTTCTAGCTTGAAAAGGTGAGTTGAAGTCCTGTCCCTGTCGGGAGGCATTGCCGCCGTTAGCTGTCTCCGCTGTGGACACCTGACGAAGAACCTTTCCTTCCAAATGTGTCGCTGTAGCATTTGGGAGACTGGGGACTAGGGAGACAAAATTCCAGGGGCCTCAGGCACCCCACAGAACTGGGCACATCACTGTGTTGAGTTTGGTGCCAAGGGGGGGCATAGGGAACCTCTGGAGCCGTTCTCCACTGCCCTGGCCAGTTCCCACACATGTGGAATGAGAGGGCGGGACTTCTGGTGGCACCTCCCCTTTCACAGCGTATGCACCGGTTTTGGCAGTGGGGACTGGTGCGTAGCCTGCAATCCTGTCTCTTGCTGGTATTTCTGCTTTCATCTCTGTACCGACTTCGAGCCAGGGGCTCCCCTCTGTCAGTTTGGTGTAGTGGTTAGGAGCGCGGACTCTAATCTGGGAGAGCCGGGTTTGATTTCCCATTCCTCCGCATGCAGCCGCTGGTGTGACCTTGGGTCACTCATAAGTTCTTTCAGAGCTGTTCTCGCAAGGGCATTTCTCCAGAGAGCTCTCTCAGCCCCACCTACCTGACAGGGTGTCTGTTGTGGGGAGGGGAAGGGAAAGGAGTTTGTAAGCCGCTCTGAGACTCCAAGTGAAGGGCGGGGTATAAATCCAATCTCCTCCTCCTCCTCCGCTTTTTCTTCTCCCCTTTGTCCTTGGAGTCTCTGTGTGCAGAGAAAAAGATGGATGAATGTGCTGAAGACCTCCTTGTTCTCCGTTGTCGTCATAGGAGGACCCTGGGAAGCAACTGGCCAGGCCTGATGATGGTGTGCCATGTGCCACTCAATTCTCGTGATGTTTCCACGGTGGGAATCCCCAGTAGCCCTGGAGACGGTCATGCTATTCTTGGCACCAGCTGAGGAAGGTCACATGGGGTCCCTCGATCACTCACATGCACACCTCCAGTGACCTTTCCAAAGCCAGTGGCGTAGGAGACAATAAAACAACCTTTCCCTCATACAACCGGCCCTAACGCCATACAGATAGCATTTTTCAAGCAAACAGAAGCTGCTCTGGATGGAAGGAGCTGAACTGCGTTCCTGGCTTCCATAGGCCTTTATGAGAGCCAGTTTGGTGTAGTGGTTAAGAGCGCGGACTCCAATCTGGGAGAACCGGGCTTGATTCCCCACTCCGCCACAGGCAGCTGCTGGGGTGACCTTGGCTCAGTCACAAGTTCTCTCAGAGCTGTTCTCTCAAGAGCAGTCCTCGAAAGAGCTCTCTCAGCCCCACCTCCCTCACAGGGTGTCTGTTGTGGGGAGGGGGGAGGGAAAGGAGATTGTAAGCCGCTCTGAGACTCCGAGTGAAGGGAGGGGTATAAATCCGATATATATCTCTCTCCTCTGTCCCACAGAAGCACATGAGCGCTAATAAATAAATAAATAAATAGTTTAAATGCATTCTCGATACTCCGCTAACTTATAACTACTATGAAGGCAAAGGGAGGGGAGGGGAGCAACCTTCGGACTGAGAATGAGGCGTTTACCATAACCACGTGGAGCAGAATTGTGGACTAGTGTCTGGGAGACCTGAATTCGAATCCCCACTCTGGCATGGAAGCTTGTTGGGTGGCCCTGGGCCAGTCAATCAGCTTAACCTATCCTACAAAGCTGTAGGGGGGGATACAGAAAGGAAGGGCAAGACAGAACTACAGATGCCCTGAGCTCCTTGGAGGAATGGAGGGATGGAAGTGTACAAGGGTTGCCAGACTCCAGGTGGGACCCGGAGATCTCCCAGAATTACCACTGATCTCCAGATGTCAGAGATCTGCTTCCCTGAAGAAAAATGTCAGCTTTGGGAGGTGGCCCCAAAGGCTTTATATCCCCACTGAGGTCCCGTCTCTCCCCAGAGTCTACCCCCAAATCGACAGGAATTTCCCAACCTGGAGCCAGCATCCGTACTAGAAAGATAGAAGAAGAAGAAGAGGAAGATAGAAGAAGAAGAGGAGGAGGAGGAGATTGGATTTATACCCTGCCCTTCACTACCCAAAGGTGTCTCAGAGCGGCTGCCAAACTCCCTTCCCTTCCCAACAACAGACACCCTGTGAGGCAGGTGGGGCTGAGAGAGCTCTGACAGAAACTGCCCTTTTTCAAGGACAGCTCTTATCAGAACTATGGCTTGCCCAAGGCCATCCAGCCAGGTTCAAGTGGAGGAGTGGGGAATCAAACCCGGTTCTCCCACTACACCACTTAACCACTACACCAAACTGGCTCTCAGACTTGGAAATGTTTTAAAAACAAAGAGACGTGCAGTGCTTTCAGAAGCCCCAAAAGGCCGGTAGCCCATCTGAATCGGGGAAGGAGATTAACTGATAGCTGAACCACTCGTTGCTGCCATTTCAGTTGTGAAGCCGGGAGGAACCCAGGTTTTCACTGGGAGTGAAGAGGCCTCCGCTAACCCGCTTATCTTCACGCCTGTATTCGCCCCAGGTACAAATCCCTTCCTTGGCTGAGAATTCGCCCTTCTGCTAGAACGCCAGAGTCCACTACACCAGAGAGGCAGTGTGAAAACAGGCCAAGTGGAAACAATGAAGACGTCTTTCTCCCCCCTCTCTTTTCAAAGGTCAGGGTAGGGGTTGTGTGCTGTCAAAAGGAAACCTCCCCTAGCTCCTTGTCCATGCCAGGAGAGGCAATGTGTGGGGCTCCTCCCTCTCCAGTCCAGCTGTCCTGCCACATCACAGGGGAGGCTCTCCCGGGGCCTCGGGATGGGAAGCAGAAAGGGTGGCCAGTCTCTAGGCAAGGCCTGGAGATCTCCTGGAATCTCCAGAGCACAGAGACCAATT